GAACCTTTCCCGGTGAGGGAGTTAGGATTGAGTAATTTAGAACTGGGAATTACAGTTTGCTCTCCTAAGCAAAAGATAATTGTTCCCCCAATCAGAATGAATGAACCTGTGATGAGGAAGAATACACACTCCAGGGTTCGTTAGCCCTGGATTTAGAGTTAACAGACTTGTGTTTGAATCCTGGCATTGCCACTGTGGGGCCTTGGGCATGGCATTTAACCTATCTGGTCCTCCATTCTCCTCATCTTTAAAACAAGGAGAAAAAAACTAAATGATCTAAGGTCCCTTATGGCTCACAATAGATGATCCTATGGAAGTTGGAAAGAAACAAAAAAAAAAAAAGAAAACATGATGGAGATGGGAAGATGAAAGAAAAAATTCATAGAATTGGGATTAGGTTTCTGGAGATCATATAATCTAACCTTTTGATTTTAGAAATAAACAGACAGTTTACAGCAAGTGAAAGGGCTACCCAAAGTTATTCGGCTAGTTAGTGGCAGAGCCAAGACTTAACTGATTCCCAGTGCAGACATCTCACTGTACCATAGGCAAAGGTCAAGAAAAATCTAAAAAGAAATAGGGCACTAGAGAGAATGTACACCTGCTCCCCAGTGTCTGTATGAAGACCTGGGGACTCTGGGAGAGTGATCTTCTCTGTTTCAGACTCTGCAGTTAACTTAAGGATATAAGAACCTTACAGAGGGATATCCTTGAAAAGAATTGTAAAGGGAGAAGGAAGGAAAATGAGCTAACTAATTGTGTTGCCACTTACAGGTGGGCTGTTCTCAGCTCTTGAAGGAGTCTGAGAAGCCATTACAGATGGGAGCTCCTACAGGACTGAATGAAAGCCAACCAGGTGGCCCCCTAGGAGGGGACAGTATAACTTCAGGTAAGTGTGGCTGTGAAGACCCCTTTTGGGGAAGGAGGTTCATGGTAGTGGGCTTGGATTAATTTATTAGTTCTTTAGGGGTTTTGTTAATCTTTGGGAGGAAGGGGTCTCACTCTCTTGGTAAGCTGTTACAGGTTTTTCCTTCTCAGCCAGCAAGTGAAGGGATCAGCATAGGTGGGGATGGGGGCTGGAGGAGGATGTAAATGAAAAGGATGATGAAAACATCCCAAGTGTGCAATGACCTATGTCCTCGAAGAACAGTTTCGATGGTGATCTATCAAAGAGTTCCCAGTTGGGCTACTTAGGGACTGAGAGCTGGATTACTAGGGCTTCTGAGGGGCAGCTTCTGAGGCCTAGGGTGTCCTGCTGGCAGTGGCAATAGCCTGTCCCTCAGCATTTCCCTGTTCTTTAGAGCTGGATAAGAAAACCAATCTGCTGAAGTGTGAGTACTGTGGAAAGTACGCACCTGAGGAGCAGTTCCGTGGCTCCAAGAGATTCTGCTCCATGACATGTGCTAAGAGGTACTGATAGCCCCCTAAACCTCACAGTCCCTTCCCAGGACCATTTCCCAGATGCTCTTTCAGCTTCTCCTCTCCTGCCTCCCTCTTCCTTTCCTTAACATTTAAAGTTCCAGTTTGTTTTGTGTAGGGTTAGCATTTGTAATGGGAAGCCCTCCCCAAAGTCTTGACCTGCTCCTGTGCCTTATCCCCTACTCCCATAGGTACAATGTGAGCTGTAGCCACCAGTTCCGACTAAAGCGGAAGAAGATGAAGGAGTTTCAGGAGGCTAACTATGCTCGAGTACGCCGGCGTGGGCCTAGACGAAGTTCCTCTGACATCGCCCGGGCCAAGATCCAGGGCAAGAGACACCGGGTGAGGTTCCCTTGAAGACCACTGAGACACCTATACCCCACCATGAAACAAATTTTCTTCCATCCTTCACCCTCCCCTGCCCCTCACTTCAAGAAGTTTGAAGCATGTTGAGTCACTGCTGCTGAATGTGGCAATATCCCAACCCAGTGTTAGTCTGGATGAGAAATGTCACTAGTTGCCTTCCCTCACATCCCTTATGCGTCCTCTACTTCTTGTCTTTCAGTATAATTTTTGCATAGGAGATCTGGATCAGGTATATTGTGAAAAAAGAGAAACATGAAAAATCAAAAAGCAACAATGCAGTAAAGATTAAAATTTGCCTATAAATAGAGCTGCCTTGTTTGCATTTGCAGAATACTTCATACATGTGTATTATCTTTTGGAAACATTCTAAAGGCCCCTAGAATATGGGAGATGCATGTGATAGTTTGGCTTTTAATTCTACCAATCCCTCTTCCTTATCTGTCTTCTTCCACAGGGTCAAGAGGATTCTAGCCGGGGCTCGGATAACTCTAGTTACGATGAAGCGCTATCTCCCACATCCCCTGGGCCTTTATCGGTGAGGGCTGGTCATGGAGAACGGGACCTGGGAAATCCTAACACAGACCCCCTAACACCAGAGCTGCATGGTATCAACCCAGTCTTCCTATCCAGTAATCCCAGCCGCTGGAGCGTGGAAGAAGTCTATGAGTTTATCGCCTCTTTACAAGGTCAGACCCTACTGATAACCCTTTCCCAGAGCCTGAAAGGTTAACCTAGATTTTTTTTTTTTAAAATATTCCTAACCTTTCTGTAGGGACCAGTATCACAGCATAACAATATGATAGTATGGTGTGTATATATGGTGTGGAAGGCTGCATCTTTTTTATAATTATATTTCCTGTCAGTAGCATGGTTTGGGGTTTCAGAAGGGGGATTCTGGCACTTCGTTTACTTTCTCAGAAACTGGCTTGGTACTCTGCCAGGTTACGGCAACATTTCTGTTGTTTGAAACTTGTTGGGCTTCTACTTTAAAGGCTGGCTTTCCAACTTTTTTCTCTTAGTCACTATGAGCCTTTTGTACTGAGTTTACCTTACAAAATAAACATTTTGTCACATTTCTTGTAAGCAATGACTGGAAGTAATCTATTTCACTGTAATGAAGGGACTCTGGCTTCTTAAAAGTCAGAAAAAGAGCTACAAGTCAAAATATTTTAAAGCATTAACATGTTCTTTTCTGCCCCACCACAAAGGATAATTTTTTTTTTTGCAAGGCAATTAGGGTTATGACTTGCCCAGCGTCACACAGCTAGTGTCAAATGTCTGGTCTAAGACCAGATTTGAACTCCGGTCCTCCTAAATCCAGGGCTGGTGCTCTATCCACTGAGCCACCTAGCTGCCCTCCCTTCTCCCCCAGAAGGACAATTTCCATCCCTTGAGGATCTGGTAGTATAGGTATGAGTTCTGGGCCCCAGAGTAGAGTAGGTGTTCTTTGTTCATGATTACAAATGCAAAATATATTTCCCTATTGTGGACCCCTACAGAGTAAGCTGTCCTAGGTTTTACAGTTCCAGGTTTTTATAGCTTTAGCTAACTATAGTTAGTTCTTCCTTAATCCTTCTTAGTCAGTTATAGCCAAATGCCCATCCTCCTCTCATTCTACTCCAAGAACCTGCCATCTCAGATCCCATACTATAGCACTGAATTTAGGATAAGTGAGTCCCATTCCAGCTTTACCATTGCTTATCCTCAGTTCATCCATCATGCTCTGCCACTGTTCTGTCTGGGGCACTGTGAGGGCAAAGGAAATACTGTCTGCTATGCATCTGAAGCTCCTCAGCCTGAAAATGGAAGGGGCATCCTGGGATGGAAATGATGGAGAGGAGGGCAACAGGATGGCACAAGATGGGGCCAGGATGATGCTTGGAAGCTGCTGTGAAACAGGTGGGACAGTCCTAAGGGAGATAGGCCAGGTTACAGCCCCACTGCATTCCAGTCTTTCCTTTTCCTCTCCCTTCTCCATCCTTTCCTCTTTCTTTTCTGACTGGCTCCTGTTTTATAAAAACTCTTCTCTTTGCCTTCTTCTAGGATGCCAAGAGATTGCAGAAGAGTTCCGCTCCCAGGAGATTGATGGGCAGGCTTTGTTACTACTCAAAGAAGAACATCTCATGAGTGCCATGAATATTAAGTTGGGCCCAGCCCTCAAGATCTGCGCCAAGATCAATGTCCTCAAGGAGACCTAACAAAGTTGTCCTACAGACTAGCCCAAAGTGGGCCCTCCCTTGCTGCCCAAGCTGCAGCCTTCTGAGGACCAGCAGAGATCTGGCCAGGGGAAGAGAGAGCTGTCTTACCAGTGGGGAACAAACAGGAAAAAGGAGTTTTCACCCACCCCCTGATAAACTTTGCCGTTACCATATGGCAACAGCTTTGACACTTCTCAGTTCTAGTTCATAAAAAAAATGGTTCCTCCCTCACCATCCCACCCTTCCCTACACCCCCAAATCTGTAAGACCTGGAGGGCAAGGGTTGCTCAGCTCTGTCCTGGATGGAGGGTCTAGCCAGGGCTTCAGTTCTCCTGGAAGACCATGAATCGTGGAGCAAGTGAGATCTGGGGCTATTTCCCTCACTGGGGCAATAAGGGTAGGATTGTCTAGTCTATGGTACTTCTCTCCTCAGACTGTACCACTGTAGCTAAGGCTGAGTCCCTTTTTCCTGAGTACCTCAAAGCTCCACCTGCTCCACGATAGGGCTGCTGACCTCTCTTGAGAGTTGACTTCTAACTTCCTGAGTTGCTGTAGAGACGTACGGCATGTTTGTGGCTGGCCCGTGTGTGGTTTTTCTTGTTCCCCCCCCCCCCCCCATTCATCTGTTGGCTTTCTTCTGCTCTACCCACCCTTCCCCCTTTTCTTTCTACCTCTTCTCTCTCCCTTAGCTTTACAAGGCAGGAGTATGAGTTGCTGGGGGCAGGAGTATAAGCACCTGCCTCAGACCCTGTTTCTTGTACAACAAAAATATCAAATATTTTTTTTTATTCCTTAGTAAAAGGATGAAAACTGGTCTTGGTTGTCTGTTTTACTTTATTCCTAGAATTCCTAAACCCTAATTCTTATACAAACAGCCAGACCACAAGGATTCTTTTTTTTTTTTTGGTCCTTTTAATTTTCTGAAGTTGTGTTTTTATACAAAAAGTGGCATAGACTTTTGCCTTATTTTAAAACACCAGGTTAAAGAAGAGAGAGGAAAACAAAATATACACACACAAAAAAATACCTGCTGATTTTATAATCTTAATTTCCCTATTTCCAAAGGAAAAAATGTTCAAACAGTAATGAAAAAGCCAAAGATAAATTTTCTGTCTGTAGCTATTTTGCCCGACTGGCCAGAAGAACCTTATTAGCCAAAGAAAGATCAGCCCAGTTTCCTGGCCATACCACCTAATTAGAAAAGGGAGGCACCAGAAGGAATTTTGAAAACCCTTACTTGCCCAGAAACATCATAGGCAAGACATACTTTCCTCCCTGAGCCAGCAGAGGGAATGTTAGTAGCATTCTCTACACTTGGAAGCAGAGCTCCAGGCTCCCCACCTGCTTCTATTTGCATTTTTGGCAATTTTTGAAAAGAAAAATCACATACCTGGGTGGACAGGCCATATTCATAAAGGGGTAGGAATACAAGAAAAGCTTCACCAGGTTCTGTAACCAGAGAGAGAAAAAAATCCCCCCCTCCACCAATGAGCCCACCCGAAGCATGGCTAATTTTCCTTTTTAGGAGCCAATGTGGCACAACACTTCAGTCTCATTTCCCCCTTCTAGTTTCTGGCTTTCTGGATTGGGCTTTTTGGCTGAATGTGAAGTGATAACACAAGATCACAATCCACATCATATTTCAAAGTAAAGGTCCCTACTAAGTTAACAAATGACCTAGCGGTACCTCACAAATCTATGGCCTGGGAAAATTCACATTTTATGGTTCTGTTCCCAGAGGGGGCCAAGAGAGACTGGGCCCAGACCAAATTCAGGAACTTGGAAGTGATAATCATTACAAAGCTGCCCCAAGCAGCAGGGAATTCCAACCAAACTCTTGTAAATAAGAGCAGGCATAGGTTAACAGCATGACGGCAACCAAAACCCTATATAAATAATATCTTTTTTTTTCCTTTATAATCCAGTGTCTCACAGAAGAGCCTAACGTCAAAAATGCAGTAAAAAGGCTAGGAAAGTCTCTTGCTCACTCCCAGCCATCTGTACACCTCCTTATCATCCTTTCTCTGCAAGGGCAGTCCCTCTCAAAACCCTCAGTTCCCTTTGGCCCATAAGGGGTGTCCCCTCCTAGGCACGTTTCTCTAGGTCAGTGCCACTAATAAGACTCCAAAGGGAAAACACAGCAGAGAGAAGGCAGCTTAGTGGATAGAAAGAGTGAATGCAAGTTAAAAGCAAACTAGAGGAAAAAACTGGTGGAAGAGATGGAGCAGCAGCGGCGGCGGAGAAATCTGGCTGAGGATGCTTTGGTTTGGGGGTGGAGAGAAAGAAAGGCTGGGTGTCTCCAGTGCAGTCACATGGGGAGCAAGTGGTCATCCCTCTCTTCTGATTCTTCCCCGAGCTGGTCGTCCCCCACACCCCGGTAGGCAGCAGGCACGTTTCGGGGCTTAGACCGACACACAAAATCACAACCATCCTATGAGGAAAGACAAACAGCTGACTGCTTAGTCTACGAATACCACAGGTTAGTCCTATAGAGGCAGTTTCCAGGGAGAAAAACGTAACTCGTAGAATAAAGATGCCACCTGAGGATGCGTAAGTTTAAAATTAGAGTTTTTGAGTGTTGGAGAGTAGGGTCTTGATGGCAGTAACCATTTCCTTTTCCCCTACACCCACCCGTCCCTCACCCTATTCCAAAAGACTCAAACCACTTTGAGAGAGAAAACTAGAATAAGCCAGTTCTTGCAAAAGGCCAGACAGAATCTGTTTGTTCCCTACAGTTAGATACAGAATGGGTACCCTAGCAACAGCCCTATTACTACTTACTGCTACTAAATTGCCCAGATCCTGCCAGAAGGCTAAATGAGGAAACTGCTCCATGCCTTTGGCGCCTACCACCAGCCTTTGGTATAAGAAGCCCCCAATGAAATAGACAGCCACCAGGGAGGCAAACCTACAGAGGAAGAGAAGGGAAAAAGTATAAAAATAGCCAGGTGAGACACAGGTCCAAAGGAATAACAAAGCTGGGCATTGAGAGCTAGAGGTAGTGAATAATCAGCAATACAATTAGTGACCTCCCCTCCCCCATGACCTTGAAGCTACCAGCTAGGCTACTGACCTGAACTGGTAAACAATGAGCCTGGGCTCAGAAGTATGTGTGAATCTGGATCCCATGTTAGCACAAATTCATTCTTGGTCAAAACAAATGATCAGCCCCATGGCTTATGTTTTTGTTTATCCCATTAGCAAAAGTAGGAATAAAAACTGTGAAGTCCTCTAGGACAGAGCCTCCTTAATGATATTAGATTCTACTGTTAAACCCATTCACATCCTCACAGCTGCAGAAATGGGGCTGAGATTGCATTTTTGATCACTTACCCCTATACAGAAATTGTTCCTATCGATCCAGAAAAAGGGAATAGGTATTAAGGTATTTGTGCTTCAGAGCACTCACGTGATAAGTAAAATAGAGCCCACGCTGAGGTGGGAATCTTCAGGTGGGCAAGCCAGACTGCTGTCCATCTCAAAGAGGTAGAAGCATTCTTGCATTTTGCCCCTTTCTTCAGACACAGGTGCGAAGTTGCCCTGTGTGAAGATGGGAAATAAGAGTTCACTATGTTAAAAGTAACATTTTCTAGCACCCTTTAACACTCACTCCCCTTAGCCTAATCTAAGCAACCTAATGAAGAAAGAAATGCTCCCTTGACTGCATATTCTTTCCTAATATGCCCATCCAGTAATGCCGGGCCCACTCTGCTGTTCAGCCTCTGTCCAAGTCTACTAGCTCCATGGTGTCTCACCCCAAGCGTCTTTTTGTTACAGGAGATCATCACCACTGCCCGTCGCTGTTCCTTGCCACAATGGTTGTTATATTCATCACCTCCTTTATAGGTCAGCATGATCCAGTCACCTGAGGGACAAGGAAAACGTTTTTTTTGTTACAGGAAGAGGTAGCAGCAACAGAATTGGGCAGTGGGGTGGGTAGAAAAGAATAAAAGGGATGCAGATGAATTAGCTTTACTTGAAAAATTTGTTCATTATAGCATCAAGGGACCTATGCACCAAACATACCAAAGTATTATGTGCCTCGTTTAATATAGCTGTGGAAATAACCATCATCTTATAGGATAATCAGAACTGAAAAAGATGAGTCTAGGTTAGTAAGAAATCTTGATTTTTCCATACTAATGTAAGGGCACAGTGACATGAATCTAAACAATTTCTATTTCACTGGGATATACTAAATAGCTATTTCAAATCAATCTTATAAGTTAATATTGAGTCACATTTATTAAATGCATACTACTTGCTGACAAAACGGTAGAAGAGAGAAGCCTACCTACTTTCTGGTATTTAAAATCAGCCACTAATAATTCAAAGTTATCATCTGTGTGCTGAATTGGTTGAATGATGGGGAGGAGAAGGGGATCATGGCACAAGGATGATCATGTTCTTTCCATCTTTAACCCTAAATGAAATAATCATGCCAATAGATGTTCCTCAAGCAACAAAGATCTAAAGAAAATTGTAAAAATGGATATCCTTAAATGGGAGACCAGGTGGTAGATCATTAGATACATTTGAAAGGGAAGCTGAGTTGATAGTTGTTGGCTTTGAAGTTAACTGATGATAGGAGAAGTGAAAAAGGGCCTTACTTCCATTGAAGACATGGGTTTCATTAATCCTCCCTATTATCGTCTCTTTGTTATTCTTCAAGTTGATCTGCACCAGTCCAGCCCCAGAGTTGTTGCTGCCAACTTCCCGGCACACCCTAAATTTGTAGGTATAGGATTCTGAACCCTGGCCCACAGTACTTATAAAGCTGTTAAAACAGAACAGGGAAACAAGAAATAAGGGGAACAAGAGTCAGAATGGGTACTTACAGCAGAATTTGCTCCGACCACATCTACTAAGGTTTTGGTCCATTTATCAGAGTTCATCCCACCTTTTTGGCAGAGATGATTATGGTCACACTTAGTAGCTAATACCATCTGCAGAAATGTGATATATGAAACTGTGAAAGGTTAGTTAGTAATGAAAATACACCTGCCAGAGCTTCTAGGCTTTTTAACAGATCATCTGTACTAAGCCCTGTCACTTACATATACCATTTTCCCATGCCCAAGAACATGGCATTCTGAGATTGCTTTTCTCCTTACAAGGACCTTTAATTGATATCCTCTTGGAGATTCCCAAGACTTAAGGTGGCAAGGAACAGCTAATGTATGGATCTGACAATGCCCATGTAAGAAGTCTAAGGCCCAGTGCCTGAGTCAAATAGTCTGTCATCAAAAGTCCACTTTACAGAGGACAGGCTTAGTCTCTGGAGTCTGTTCCTGGAGAGAGATAAATCAGACTGCATAATGTGAGAAATACAGGCTCCTGGGAAAAGTTGGGCTGATTTCCCTTCCTTTCCTTCATTATGAAACAGGGTGGTTAGTTCTCAAAAAAGCCACAGATGGCATTCCCTACATGGCAAGGTTTTTGAATCCTGGGATCAGAGAAAAATTCTTCAAAACAACTACTGCCCCCAAACCCTTGGAAGTTTCTGTCCTTTGCTGTTGTTTTTCAATCTTTTCAGTTTGTCCAACTCTTTATGACCCCATTTGGGATTTCCTTTGGCAGATACTAGAATAGTTTGCCTTTTCCTTCTCCAAATTTCTTGTTTCCTTCTGACCTTTACCTTTGGTCAAAAAGTGGAGTCAACTTCTTCAGAAGGGCCAGCTCCTTCTCTGACTCTTTATCCTTCTCTCCTATCAAGTCACAGGTTTTCTCTTCCACCTGCCAGGCCTCCCTCACTGCCATAGCCAGGAGTAGCAAAAACAGCAGCCCAGCCCTCCAACAGTTGTAAAAGGGGAACATCCTATTGGGAGACAGAAGAAAAGGAGAATCAGTCATCACAACACACTGCCAGGCTGATCCTTTATAACTAAATGCAAAAAGCATCAAAACCTTTAAAATACGCAAAAATATATCAATATGTCTAATACACATACCCCCTCTAGCTAACCCACAATTTATACCTGTCACTGGCCATAGATACTTCCTAACTTAATAGATTTTTCTCATTCCTAGAGCTTTCCCCCCAAATGAAGCACAATTTTATAGAAGATTTCCCTACACCCCTCTAGAATGTGTCTCTACAAGTCCCTAGAGGGCCAAGCTTATGCTAATTTCTCTCATTTTGCATTTCTCTACAAAATTTTCCTATTTATTGTTATTCATAGTACTTTGGGGAGGGAGAAGGGATGATGAACAAACAGAGCTCTCCCCAGTATTAAGGCACCAAAAAAGCCATTCTCAAATCAGGATTATTAGAGTGGAACTTTCAATTTTCCTAACTGTCAGTTATTTCACAAGTCTTCAGGGAGGGAGAAGAGTTGATGAACAAGCAGAGCTCTCCTCGTGGTGAGACACCAAAAAAAGCCATTCTCAAACCAGGGCTGTTAGAATGGAAGTTCACAACTGCTAAGGGCAAAACAAATCACACCTCACAATTTCAGAAAAACTGGGTGGGTAGGAGCATTCCTGCCTGTCTGGAGAAGAGTTAGATTAAGATTTATGTCAAGCCAGTAGTTAGTCACAGCTCTTGAAGAAGTAAACTACATCCTTACCCCACCCCCACCCCAAAAGCATCATAGAAATTCAAACAAACCTCAGCTAGAAGTAAACAAGATTGCCTTGGTTCTTAACCTCTCAGATCAGCAAGAAATCCTACTGTCTTTCTTAATCATGGAGAGTAACAAAACAACATAAAAGAATAAAGCCCTGGGACAGCTAGGTGGCACAATGGATAGCTCTCCTGTCTTGGAGTCAGGAAGACCTGTGTTCAAATCTGGCCTCTGACACTTGACATGTACTAACTGTGTGACCTTGGGCAAGTCACTTAACCTTGATTGCCTCACCAAAAAGAAAAAAAAATAATAATAATAAAGCCCCAATGAACAATTAATAAGCATGCAATATTTCCTTTAAGGTCTCATGTCTTTCACTCTCCAAAATTCAACTTTATAAATTATAGGAGGAAGAAAATTCATCAGGTCAGTACACTTCTTGCCACTGAGCTCCTGGGAACCACTCATTCAAATCAACCGTAATATTTGCATACTTGACCCATTTTGCCAAATTACTCTGGGAATAAAAATACTGTTCATTAATTAGAATCTACCCCCATTGCAAAATTTATTGTCCCTTTCTGTCCATTCCCTTCCTGCTTAATTCATACTGATTTGTACGATAAGACTTCAACTTTGCAAAATGTGCCTTTATCTAACTTCCTTGATAATCCCAGAGGTTATTTTAAGATATAAGCCCTCGCAAGCTGGTAATTCTATAATCACACCATCCTGCTACCCAATTTTGCCAGGTTCTCCATAGTCCTAACTTTTCCTACCAACCCCCAAATTCAACTTTTCATTGTAAGTAATAACCGTCACATAGTCTGAGGATCTCCAAATACTAAAACACCAATCCCCTCAAAATCCAGAAAAGGCGACAGATAACAAAAACTACATTCTCCATTTGACTCAAAAAGATAAAGGGGAAATGACTTCTCCAAAGCTGAAGTGTGATTTAGTGGAAAATGGAACAAAGGACTCAGGCTCCAGACTGCTACTGGATTCCTGTATCACTTCCAAAACACTGCCAAATAGTACTACCTGAAGGGTCCACCCTTTCTGCTACTACTTTCCCCACATACACAGAATGAAATGAGAAAAGATTAAAGAAACCAAAATTTTTTTCCCTGGAAAAAGTCATTGTTGAAAACAAAAAAAAATAAAAATTACCATGAAAAAAGAAAAAAATAAAGTTACCTGCCTACTTCTACTTAAAAAAAAATTTAAAGCTTGGAAATAAGAAGGGTAATGACCTCTTGTGATCCCCTTCCAACTCCATGACTTCAGAAACACTCAAAAGTTTTCCCACACCTGGGGTATGGAAAGATAGGTTTGGTAGACGGGAAGCAGCTTCCATCTCTAGACCCTCAACCTCCCAAGCGAAAGGACTGATTTCGAGACTCCCTTGCAACAAGAACTCCAGGCCTTCATCTTTCTCTTGCTTCCAGGAAAGGTTCCACATCCCAAACACTTCAGGGAATGCAAAAAAGAAAGCCTTTGGGAAATAGGAGCTCAAACTATGTCGCCGGCAGAAACTCTGAGCCAAGCTGCACGAGTTACTACACCTTCCAACCAGGCAGTCTTTCTCAAAAGACAACTTGTTCCTTCCTAGCATCGGCTCAAGTCCTCCTCCTCTACCTGACATCTTATCAGCACTACCCGACTCCTCCACCGCCTCCCGCTTCCAACAAGTTACCTTGTGAATCCCACAGCAGGGAGAACCTCCAATAACAGTGCAGCCAGACTCCACACCGAGGGATGCAGGGGACTTCCTTAGATAATTACTCCCCCTTTTCTCAGCACCCATCGACTCCCCAAAATATAACGAAGTTCCTACAGGATCTCCTCTCCCTCTACTTCTACCACGTCCCTGCAACTTCCCCGTGGCCTAGTCTGAGTTCCAACCTCCCCTTCTGCCCAAGACCCCTGCCTTGGGAGTTGGGGGCTAAGCTCTCGGGAGGAGACGCCTGCGACCCGGATTCCTGAGGCTCTCTTGGGGTCCCTCTCCCAGAGGCCCCGGGCATACTCACGTGCCACTGAGGAGGAGGGGCGAAACGCCGATCGTCCTGAATTATTAATGAGCCCTCATGAATATTAATCAGAGCACCCCTCCTTTGGAATACCCAGTGGATATAGTGTGGAGACGGAGCCCAAAAAGGGGACAGTCCAGGGTCTCAGCTGCAGCCCCCGTCCCGACAGCCAGGGTTTCCAGTAGCACCTCACACTGCCCCACTCAGGGAACCGGAAACAGGAAGCGAAAACCTGCGACCCGGCAAGGCTACCTCCCACCAGGCCCCGCGGCAGGCGACCATGAAGGGCTTTTTTTTTTTTTTAAAAGCCCTGCCTCTTCCCCATTCCCTCCTCCCACTCCCAAGTAGTCCAGCCCACCGTTTGACCATTCATTGGCAAAAAGCGAGTTCAATCCCTCGCCTCCGAAATTAACTCCGCCCTCACTCCACCCATCCAATCACTATCAACATCTTCAGATGGGCACCTCCCTCCTCTCCTGCCGATCTCGCAGGCCCCGCCCCTAAACCCGCCTTTGCATCAATAGGTAACCTTCACCTCCCCACCTCTGGCTGTCACGAGTGCTCACGTGCCTAATAGCTGTCCTTCTGCTCTAGGGATGTGAAATGTGAAATAGCGAAGCGGAAACTGGGAAGGGGGGGAGGGCTGGGGAGAGGGAGAGCTTGACCTGTGTGCCGCTCAGCATTTTGGGAGTTGTAGTCTTTTTCCTTTGCTTCCATACCTCATCTCCCTCTTCCTCTTGCACCTTCTCGCCCCCCACTCTCAGTCTAATAGGGGTACCGAGGGACCAAACTGTGAGTTCATGAGATTAAATTAGATTCCTGGGAAAATTCTAGAATGTGAGTCTAGAGTGATAGTTCGTGAACATTTAGAAAAAAAGGAAGCAAGAGACATGATTTCATCAAGAGCTGGTTGTGCCAGACTAATTTCTTTTCCTCTCTTGACAGCCTTTCCAAATTGGTATTATCAAGGGAATATCTAATTTCAGCAAGGCATTTGACAAAGAATCCCATTCTGTCTTTGTGTTCAAATATAGAGAGTTGTAGGCTAAACGACGGCGCGTTAATGTAGTTTCAGAATTGATTGAATAATGACGGGGATTTTTAGTAGAGTGTTCGGCCATGGCTCTATGCTGTTCAGCACCCTTGTCGATGATTTAAATGAAATCCAAATAGCAATACTTATCAGAGGACAAAAAGATGATGGAAAACTTGACAAACTAAAACAGCGGCCAATAACTAATAGAATAAAATTTAATATAAAAAAATAAAGTCTTCCTTTTTTAATGAATTGCATATGTAAAAGAGGGGAGTTAAGAGAGTTTGCTTCTTTGGAAAAGATCTAAGCAGTTTTGGTGGGCTGTCAACTCAGTATGACACTGTGAGGAGTACCCTTTAATCCTGGAATCTGCAAAGCTATTCGGGTTTTTCCCTCTCTGGGGTGAGAGAGAATAGTGAAACGCAAGAGAGGAAAGCCTTTGAGTAAATTCCATTCTGAAGCAGTAGCAGGCAGTACCCCCGATGTAGTCAACAGCGGATGATTCTCCCTTCCTCCAATCAGCTCTTTTGAGAGTGTAGAGCTTTTCACCAATCAGCTCTTTCAACCTGACCCGCTCTCCTCCAATCAGCTGAACTCCCCAAATCAACGGGCGTCTTGCTGTCAGCTGTGCGGAGCCGTCAGTTTCAGTGCTTCTGTTCCTGGGCTTCCGCAGACAGCTTTCTCCCGTTGTTTCTTCTCTCTCCTGTACTTGTTCAGTAGCTGACTCTAGGCCCTCTGACCTGGCTTCTGTTCTCTGAGTTTGCTGTTTCAAAACATTGCTACCCAGTGTGAAAGCGAATTACTCTACCTTAAGATGTGGAACCCCAAACCCATAGTTCTATCAGGTATAGCACAAATCGTCATTATACAAATCCCATGCTCTCCAATCGGTTCTTCCACGCAGAATTTATCGGTAATAATTTACAGAGTCCTGAAAAGTCATATTGAAATTAACTGCTGGCAAACAATGTACTTAAGCCACATTATCAGTATTAGGCTTGACACCGTTTGCCTCAGTTTCCTCACCTGTAAAATTAGCTGGAGAAGGAAATGGCAAACAACTCCAGTATCTTGGCCAAGATTTCATGCCTGAGAAACATCTCAACAATTAGAGTCCTTAGAATGAGAGAACTGCTATCTATTCCATACTGCTCTTCTCTACTGAACTTCCAACCCAGGATGACCTCGGATCAGAACAGAAAGGTTGGCTGACTTTTAATCTTGGATTATGGCCAATGAGGAGACATCCCACCTACCAGTTGGAGAGGTCATCGTGGGCATTATTAGCCATCTTCCGTCTAAGAGTTCTAATTGGTGAGAAGTATTTCTTGGCATCAAATCTAAATTTGCTTCTTTACAGCTTTCATCCATTGGTCTCAGTTCTGTCCTCTGGGGCCAAACAAGCAAACCTAATCCTTCTTCCACACAAGGGTTCTTAAAGATAAATATAAGGTAAGGGAAATTTGGGTTCCCTCCTCCACCTTCCATGTCTTGGAATAGGTTTTAACGAAGTGTTAACTCCCAGTTACTATATGACAAAATGGGAATACCTTGGAAACAATCAGGAGGGGAGAGGCTGTTTGGTGAGCTGAATATTGGCCATGACCCCTGGAGGCTAAACCCTGGAGACTATAGTTTGACAGTTCAAGAGTTAATCAGTCCAGTCCAGAAGAGAGGGGTGGAAGAAGTACCCTGCCCCTTAGAAGAATCACTCTTGGAGGGGTGGAGGAGATTTCTCTCCATCAGCTGTGGCATCTGGTGGCAGAGTTATTTGCCCAGAAATCAATAACCCCTTTAGCAACTGGAGAAGTAGTCCTAGAGACTTTGAAACATGATTGAGGGAGCAGAGACATACACTCTTCAGACAGGCTACAGATACAGAGAGGTGGTTACTCAAGCAGTTTTGAGGAGAATGACGTCTGAGCGCAGAAAAGAGAACCAGTTATGGATTATACTAGAATGAGCTAGCACTGGTAATTCAGGGTCAAGCTATGGAAAGGAGTAGACTCTGAGAGCCCAGCTGAGAGAGACAAATTTAGCAGAGTCCTCAGAAGGGCCTAGTGAAGCCTCCGTAAGGAAGAAATGGACATCAAGTCCCAGCAATATTGGATTTGTCAATTTCATTGGCTATATGTGTTCTCTATATGTGTATTCTAAATCAGAACCCAGTCTTCCCATGGAAACTATGTGTATTTGTGAGGGGAGAAATTTTGATAACTACTGTATTTACTATTGCTGGATTAGTAAAATGCCTTTGTTTGGAGTTAATTGTGTCTCCTGACTGACTTCAAGGAAAGCACACCAGTAAGGGCTCCTGAGCAATAGTTTTAATATAGATCCACAGCTATCCTTAGATACAGGGGTGGAGAACCTTCATCCTGGAGGCCACAAATGATTTGTTCTGTGAAGTTCAGATTCAGCCAAAGGGCGGTACTTGAGGACCTATAGGGCCACATGTGGCCTCCAAGCCTCAGGCTTCCCACCCCTATGCCTAGAACCTAAGAGTAGTAGCTATTTCCCTTGACCAAAGGCATCTCTAGCTATCTTAGTGGAGAGAGGATTGGGTGGGGAATCAGGAAGATATGAAGTCAAATCTGGGCCCAGACACTTACTAACTGTGTGACCCTGGGCAAATCACTTAACCCTATTTGCCTCTGTTTTCTCATCTGTAAAATGAGCTGGAAAAGGAAATCATAAACCACTCTAGTATCTTTGCCAAGAAAACCCCAAATGGGATCATGAAGAGACGGGCATGACTGAACAACAATAACTAACCAAACCCGGGATCGTGAATATGAGTTCGAGGAGTCAGTCTGGAAGGAGTGCTACAAAGCTATCGTGTTCCCCCATCCATTGTCCTGGCAGCTTGAAGGGTCCAGGCTAAACATACCCAGTTTCTTCAACCCATTCCCATACAACTTGGATTCAAGGTTCTTCACTTTCCAGGTTGTCCTCCTCCCGTATAGGGTGGGCTACATTCCTAGGCACATCCTACTCTCTCTCTCTCCCCTCCTATCCCTCCAAAGTTGCTTTGCATTTTAATTTAATCATGATATACTTTTAGTTTCCAATGGTGAGTCGGTCAATAAACATTTATTTAGAGATTACTTTGTGCCAGATATTATGTTAAGTGCTCAGGAAACTAAAAGAAGCAAATGACAGTTCCTACCCTTAAGGAGCTCACAATCCAATGGGGAAAACAATACAAATGAGATATATACAGGATAATTAGGAAATAAGTAAAAAAGGGAAGGCATTAGAATTAAGAAGGTTAGGAAAGTTTTCCTATAGAAGATAGAATGTTAGTTGGGACTTAAAAGACGCCAGATGGGGCATCTAGGTGACTCAGTGGATAAAGCACTGGCCCTGGAGTCAGGAGGACCTGAGTTCAAATCTGACCTCAGACACATAACACTTACTAGCTGTGTGACCCTGGGCAAGTTACTTAACCCCACTTGCCTCACTAAAAAAATAAATAAATAAATAAGTCAATAAATCCCTGTTTAAAAAAGAAGAGGGACAAACAGAGAAAATGGCCAGAGCCCAGAGATGTAGTGTCTTGTTCCTGTGGATTGAAGAATACATGTTAGGGATTAAGGTATAAGAAAATAGGAAAGGGAAGGGAAGGCTCTGAATGCCAAACAGAGGGTTTTGTATTTGAGGTGATAGGGAGCCACTGGGGTTTATTGAGTAGAGAGTGGCATGGTCGGACCTGCACTTCAGGAAAATCACTTTAGTGGCTGAATGGAGGATGGATTGGAGTAGGGAGAGACTTGAGGCAGGCAGATCCACCTGCATGCTAAAGCAATAGTCCAGGTGTGAGGTGATGAGGGCCTGCACCAGGGTGGCAGCAATATTGAGAGAAGGAGGTACATTTGAGTCAATAGGCCTTGACAATAGATTGGATATGATAGGGTGAGAGGTAATGAGGAGGATAA